GAGAGAGAAAGAGAGAGATAGAGAGAGAAAGAGGAAGAAAGAACATTTCTATGTACGTGTACGTGTACGTAGGTGAGTTTGCATGTATGCGAGAAAGAAAGATAGAAAAATAGAAAGAGAGAGAGAGAGAGATAGATAGATATAGAGGCCGGAAAAGAGATGATCTCGCTATCTCTCGATCGCGTATGTGCGACTGTTGGAATGGAAGGGACCAGTTTGAATAGGAAAGGCGAACAAATCTGCTCGACGAGTTCAGGGATAAAAGGGACGTTTTGCAAACTTGGTTTCACTCACACGGAACCATTTTCCTATATATATATATATATGAATATATCAATGTATGTGCGGCGCGTGTATGTAACTGTGTTCCATATATAAAAGTTTATGCATATAAATCGATGGGTGTGTGTGCGTGTGAGTATAGATGTGTTCCATATATAAAAGTGTATATACATATATATATATATGTTTGCATGTGTGTACGTTTCATCTGTTTTTCGAAATTATATTCGTACGCGCATGCACGAAACGACTACACGGATGAAATCTTTCACGATTGCGCAACAAACAAACAACAAACAAGCAAGCAAGCGTAAAAGCTTACAGATTATAAATATCACCTGGCTGGCAGCGCCTACAAATTCGCGAATTTGTGGGCCATGCAACAATATTCTCTCGCATATGTGTTTAACTTTATTCCTACGAATTTTCTTTATTTCATTCTTGCCATCTTTTTCGGTCGTCATCTTTTTGATCTATTCAAATTAAGCGCGAGCTTCGTTTTCTTTTTCTTTCTTTTTTTTTTTTTCAAATATCTCTTTGAAAGAAAAAAGAAAAGAAGCTGTAAAAAATAAAAAAAAGAAAGAAGTGAGATGATATGTAAGAATAGGAGAGAGAGAGAGAGAGAGAGAGGTCACATTTTTAATAATGTATTTTTACTTCGCCTTTCTTCAACTTTTTTAATGGGGGAAAGACTTTATTAATTGCGTGTGTCTTTTCTCTCTCTCTCTCTTTTTTTCTGTTTTTTTTTTTTAGTGAATATCAAACAATTCGTAATTTCTATGGAAAAGAAATATATGGATACGCGTATAATCATTGAAAATATTTCATTTTTATTCGTTAAAGGAAGAAGAAAAAAATTCAAACGTAAAAGCTAAATTTATTCTAATATGTACACTCTCCATACATAAATTATGTTTAACAATATATATATATATATATTTTAAATATTGAAAATTATTAATTCAAAATGTCTGAATTCATAGAAATGTTTAATTAGTATTAATTGATCGTATTTGAAATAAGTGACGAGTAGATTAGCTTAATACCTAAATTATACTTATTCGATGTAATTAATTAGGATAATCAATATATATATGTATGGAAGATAATAAAATATTCTACAATAGTTACATTAGTATTAAATCAAATATGATACATACATGTACATTGATTTCGATAATTTCGAATAGAGGATACTAAGCGTAATGCTATATCTATTCTAAGTTTACATGAAGCCCATTATCGGTAATAACGTTTATCCATTTGCTAATGCAGAAGTACGTGTGTTTTTTGTCTGTTTTCCTTCAGAGAAAGCACGGCTAACAGATGCAATCAACGTTACCGATGCATTATTATCCATTAAATCGCCAAATCTATCGGATTTCCCCAAGTCAACTACTACTACCAATATACTCGATGATATTAACAGTTCTGATCATAACCGGAAACGCTGATATTAGTAAACTTGCTATAACATAAGTTCTCTATCTTGTTTCTAACCTCAGCTAAACAATATGCATTATCTAGCCGATCTAATGGCCTGTATGCATTCAATGATAATTTATAATTCGTGTATGCAAGATAAAAAAAAAGAAAAAACAAACAAACAGATAACGAACGTACATTATTTTGCCGCGGATCTATCTTCTGTTTACACGCGTCAAATAAAACAATATATAAAAGGAATATGTAAAATAACTTCAACAAAAGAGAGAAGAAAAAAAAAATGTATACGTACACTTGACCGATGAAGAAGCTCAGGTGTTTTCAATAGCGAAATAAAAAAGCAACGAGAGATCGCGCGCACCTTATCGATTTATTTATGCGTCCAATAAAAGACGCGAAACAAATTACACGTTCTGTCGAGCGCGTTCTGTTTATATTCTAAGGTAAGAAAAGAAAAAAAAGAAAAGAGAAAAAGAAAATCTAACAAAAGGTCACAACAATCGTTTTATCAATTTCCTTCTCGTGCATCGAATGAAAATAATCCGAAGGTGCGAAGAAATTTTACATCAGACTGAACTCACGTTTCGTTTTTATCTTTGAGAAAAATAGAAAAGAAGAAAAACGAGATCGTAACTTATCGCAAAATTGTTTTTTAAGTTATATTTATTTCGACGCGTTTGGGAAAAAAAATGATGAGAGTGAATTCTTACGATGCGCGCGCACAGCAACACTAAATTAACAGGATGAAGTTGGTCGGTATTTACGATGCGCGCGCACAACGATAGGAAATTAACAGCATGAAGTTAGTCGCGTCATATAGCAAGCTTGGTGTATTGTTCACGTGTTTGATTGAGTTCCTGAACATTAAAATTAAAAATTAATTTAAAAATATGCAGCAGTCGCACTGAATCGACAACAAAATCAAAAACAGTAATTGACGATGTATTTCAAAGATGTTGTTGAAAAAAAAAACACACCACAAGCGGCTCAATTCTATAAATTACAAAGTACTATGGAAAATTATATTTTGTTACAGATTGTGATGCACCTCCTCGCCCCAAATTCTCGCTACAGTCAAGATATGATGGGAATTGGATATTTTTGCAACCTATTCCCATAGTATAAGATGGAACTGTAACAGCAATATAGAACATACATGAAATACATAAAATTATTTTATTTATATTTGTGAAAGATTAATTATTTGCTCTTTTTATTTTATTATATATACACCAAAGAAGTATATAACTTCTTATGTGCGTTCATAAGTACACGCACCCGTGTTTTTTTTCTTCCTTTTTTGTCTATATAAAATGTTAAACTATTCCAATACGTATAAATATCATAATGTAAGAATATATTCTTTTGATGTACATAAATTTATAAGATTGCATTCAACTAGTCCATACCAAACAGATGTGCTTTTAACAGGTGCTATATAAGGGTATTTCTGACCTACATAAATCCTCAGAATTTGGGTTGAACGATCAATAATAGACAGGTGTGTTTTCGATATCTCTACCGTGCAAGGGTACCCCTCTGACCTACATAAATTCTCCAAATTACACTAGAGGAATCTATATCGAACACAGATGTGTTTTTATTAATAAATACCCTGTGTGTATATGTATAAGTATATAAAAATATACCTATGGTATATGGCTGACCTGAAAAAATATTATTCTTGTTGGACTAACAATAAACCATTCTTAAATATATATTACACCTACCTATAAATATTTGTAGCCCGGTACAATTTGATCCCTTTCGATAGCACGGCCATAAGAGCCATAAACGTTTATGGGAATATTATATTCCAACATAGAGAATAATACTCTTATCATGTATCTTTTGCTATTAGTAAATCATTCTAATCTTTTAGAATCTGTTTTGTGTGTAGAAACCAACGAAGGACCAGTAAATGACTAGTGGAATGCTTACGATCGATATGCAAATTCCAAGTCACGTTTACAAAGTTACTTCTTCCGTCTATATATACTACTAACTTATGGGGGAAATAACTTGAAACAGATAAAACGAGATAAACGAGGGAAGCAAGGAACTTAAGGTACATGTTAATGATTTCATCTCTTCCTCTCTCCTTGATTTCGTCAAAATACTATAACGTTCTCGGTTGAGACAACTGTATGCTCATCTAACGTAACAGGTAGTTGCGCTAAAGAAATAGGAACTCTCGTTCGTGCAGAACAATGTAGCATATATTATGGTATCTCGGTTCTAAAGATAATAATGATTTCTTATTTAAGAAAACAATCTCTATTTGTAGAATAGAAAATACTAATTTAAGAAAAAGAAAGAAAGAAATATCATTCATCCTATGTTTATGAAATGTATTCAATATTCTTTTGGTTTTTGAGACAAGAACTGATAAACAAAAAATAATCTATTTTTTTGTATGCAATAATATAGCATAGTCTTTTTTTACAATGACAAAACACCCAAGCACAAAAAGTTGATGGTTGTGCTATTTAAAATAAGCTGTTAGACCTGACTGATTAACATCTTTTTAATGGCTTTATGTCTTATGTATATCTTCTTCAGAAGGATTATGCAACTGTCGCGATATAATAATAATAAAAGATGATAGAAGTTAATGCGAAGTCTGTTATTAAAAAGTTACCCTATATAAAAGCAGTACTTTGCTACATACAGTACTAGATTTTAAGAAAAAAAAGATAATAATTAAAACACAATATTTATATTCGATTTTTAATTGTTGTTTGCTTTTAAATGTATATAGAATTTAATTACATATTCACTTTTTGTAGACTACTTGTTATTAAAAGTTACTAGGAAATAAGAAAGTTTCAGAAATATTGAAATTCTAGTAACCTGGCTAAGCCGAAATTGGTAATAGTAGTGCTCTACTTACCATCAGAATTACCGACAGTAAAAAATTAGTAGATAATTAGGCGAGCAATTATGGATTTTGAATGAGCAATTATTGAGCATTAAGAGCATTTATTCATTTCTTTCTACAGTGAAAATTTTTCTACTGTCGGTAATACGACTTACCGACCGAGATCTGATGGTAAGTTACCAACAGAATTGCCGACAGTAAAAAAATTATTAGTTAATTAGGCGAGCAATTATGGATTTTAAATGAGCAATTATTGAGCATTAAGAGCATTTATTTTTTTCTTTCTGCGGTGAAAATTTTTCTACTGTCGGTAATTCTGATGGTAAGTAGAACACTACTATTACCAATTTTGGCTTAGCCAGGTTACTAGAATTTCAATATTTCTGAAACTTTCTTATTTCCTAGTAACTTTTAATAACAAGTAGTCTACAAAAAGTGAATATGTAATTAAATTCTATATACATTTAAAAGCAAATAACAATTAAAAATCTAATATAAATATTGTGTTTTAATTATCAATTAAAGGAGTTTACTCGTTAAGAACGATTGTCTTGGAACAGGTGCAGGAAAGAGACTTACTAGATTAAAAAAAAACCGATATCGTATTGGAGCTAGAAAGACTGGAGAGAAACGAACAAACAAAGTCAGCAATTGATTGAAAACAAAAAATAATAGAAAACTTTATTGCGTTGTTTAGAAATGAGGAAACACGTTTTTGTTTTTTCAATTATTAATAATTAATTAAGATTCATTTTTATCTGCTGTTAAGGTTTCTTGGCAGCGATCCTACAGTAACGGCAGCACCTAAATTTTAAACAAAATCAAAGACTGCACTCTGGTGCAACTTAACACGTACGATTATGACAATCCACAATTTATATATATTTTCTAGAAATGGTTTGTTGCTATATTATTCTGAATGGAATAGACTGAATAAATCTGGAATCACGAAAGAAGAGGTACATTTTATAATCTCAGTTTTTCTATTTTTCATATATACCCAAACATTTTTTGGTTAAGTCTTCTTGTCATATGTCATGTTTCGTTTGCAATATTAATTCTATATTTTTAGGAAGCAAAATTGATGTATGGAATGCTGTTTTCCATAAAATCATTTGTAAGTAAAATATCACCTTTGGATCCAAAGGAAGGATTTTTGTATTACAAAACAAGTAAATATACTCTACATTATTTTGAAACGCCGTCTGGTTTAAAATTTGTTTTAAATACGGACAATGCAACCCAAAATGCAAGAGAATTGTTACAACAATTGTATCGCGAGGTAAGTGAAGAAATATAATTACCATTAATGAAACTTCGAATTTTACCAGAAGAAAGCTAAAGTTACAGGACACACTAATTTTTATTTAAATTATACACAGTTGCAGAAATACATCAGTACCATCACTTTATAATCAGTAAAACTAAATACTTAACTGTTTCAAGGAAAACGAAGGGAAAAATTTCACATGCATTCTTATATACCAATTTGTTTCAGATAAAAAAATAAATTATATTTACAGTGTAGTTCAAGATATATTATAGAAGAAATATACAGGGATGGGTTGAAAAGTTTTGAGCCTAACACATGAGAGTGAATTTAAAATCCATCTTCGTGTTAGGCTCAAAACTTTTCAGCCCATCTCGTAGTAGGTTTTAAATTCTTATATTCATAATCATTTATTAGAATTAACACTTTTTAACCCATCCATGTTAATTTTTTTTATATAATATCTTTTGAATTAAATTGTAAAAACTTTATTTTTCTATCTAACATGGAATGAATGAACTGGTATATAAGAATGTACGTGAAACTTTTATTTACTGCTTGTACAGTATTGTAGTTTGATTCTGATGGACCCTCCTCAACTGTGTAGAATTTAAAAAAAAAAATGGGTTTCCTGTGTCAACATTAATCTACTTAGGTATTTATACGTATGTATTATTTTGTTCAGGTATATTTGGAATACGTCGTGAAAAATCCACTTTGTCAACTGAATGAACCAATACAAAGTGAATTATTTAAATTAAAAGTTGACGAGTTGTTTAAAAAGTCGCCATTATTTTTAAGCAGATCGTTATAGCCAAAGAAATTTAGAAAAATACTTGTACAATTAGAGTTGTAAAATATTATTATTATTATTATCATCATTATTATCATGAGAGACGAAGAGAGAGAGAGAGAGAGAGAAAGAGACAATGAGACAGTGTGAGAGAGTTATTTTTTATAGTGGTCTGATTCAGAGCCATCAAACTTTTCCATTTGATTTCACTTTTTTTTACCCGAGCAAATATTTTCTAAGTATAAACTCTATACTATCTTCTCTTTCACTATCATAAATTCACAAATGTATTATATGCATAGCGTTTGCCAAATTGGTTTTAAATCAATTTTGTAATTTTGCTCAAATTTCTATAACTTTCAAATTTAATTACGCGGCATTGTATGGAGATCCCACACTTCGAGAAGTCCTATCCTAATTCATTACATATATATTGGGGTTGGCAACTATGTTACCCGCTGTTTTTTAATTTTTATTAAAAGTCTATATTTTTTAATAAAAATTAACAATTTATTAATCAACGATGTATTCTTCCTAGTTAAAATGTAAACAAACGGCGAGAACTTAGTTGCCAATCTAATATTATACATATGTATGTTGTAATATATAGTTATAAGAATAATTAAAAATAAATAACGGTGCAACTGAAGGAATTATTTTAAAATTATTCTTTAATTACATTGCACAGTATACCTCTAATTTTACATATATATTTTGCTATCTATATTATCTTATATTATAGAGCTCGCACTATGTAAAACTTCCAGGTCTTGAAACTTTTGTTGTCCCATACATTATATCTTTCAATACTTTTAACAAATATGAGTGTCAAATATCGAATATTGTACATGCTATGAATGATCATTTGAATATGACACTAAAATAACGAGTGCCCTGCTTATACGTTGACGATGAAATACAGATAATTAGGGTATGCAAATTCTTAATCATTTAAATGGCCATTGTGAAAAGTTTATAATTAGTAATTAAATGTTTATTTTTTAGTGATACTTAAATTGATATTTCAGTCATACTGTATAGTAACTCAAATATTATATTCTTTTTCTATCGAAATATATTTGTAGTTTAAATCGTTTTAACGTTTTTAACGTTCGCGTTCTGAAACATTTGAAAAATTATATATTATTTATATATATATATAGGAGTATTTAAACAAAAATGAAAAAAAAAACTATACACGCGAGCGAAACAAAACTTGTGAAGTATGGCACAGTACTTCGAAATCTGTAAATTGTCTCTAGAAATAATATTAATAAATCCAAATATTAAATGTTGTAAATAGAATCGGAAATTTGTGTTTTTTTTAATCAATCATTTTCTTTTTCTTTATAATATAATACTTTAATAATATTAATTGTTACCCTTAGTACGCGATACCTCTGTTTCTTTTATCTTTTTTATGTATTATGTTTAAATTATAAATTTATAGGCAAGAAATATCTACGTTAATATTTGCGTTCTATTAAAAGAAAAAAAAAGAAAAGCAAAATGAGATTATACTGCGCACAAGATGGTATAACATAAGAAATAGAGAAAGAGAAAAAGAGAGAGAAAAGCAATGATAAAAGAAAATGCAAAATAATGCTATAAAAGAAATAATCACTTTATTCATATACCGTATAAATAAATATACCTTCAAACAAGCATATAAT